GTGGCGTTGTGTCACAAGGGCCTTTGGGAGAGGCTGAAAGGGAGGGCTGTGCCGTGTCACAAGGGCCTTTGGGAGGGCCCTCAGAGGGGGGGGAGGTCCCCAGCGTGGGAGCCGTGGGATAGGCCCCCTTGGCGGCCTCCGGGCCGGCGTAGAGGGCGAGGGGGGGGGGAAGAAGACGGGGGGACTGGCCGGGAGGAGGCCCCGGCGCAGCCCCCGGGCCCGCGCCTCGGCGTCCTCGCGGACCGGGCCGTCAATGACGTACATGTCCCCTTTTTTTTTTTGGGGGGGGGGGGTCCACACCAACGCGATCGGGTCCGGATGAGGGCCTGTGGCTTCCCCTGGGTTGGTGTGGGAGAAAAGCACTAAGTGGTGGTGACTTACCTACGGGAGACTCAAGAAAAAGGGGGGGGGGGAAGAAGCATACCCGATGGGACTCATTTCATACCGCTTTCACTCATAGGAAAACGCCATCCATTGTATGGTCACCCCCCTCTCCTAAGGGGAAGGTTGGCCAATTGACATGCCGGAAGATCCATGCGGGACTTTCCGCCTTACCCCGGCGGGTTATCAATCTTGGTCCTTCGCTAATTGCTCCTCGAGGGTGTCGAGGCGGAGGGTCAGAAAGCACATTTGGTTGTTGGCCTGCTGAACCGCTGTCTCGTAGCGAGCGCGAACGCCTTTCCATCGGTGCATGAGGTGCGCAAAGCGGGAACGGTTGGCGCGGGAAAAGCAAAGCGCATCGTTCAGATTTTTAACAGGGGGATTGGTATTATCGGGGGTTGTTTGATTCGCATTATCCGGCTTCGTTGATTCAGCGCTCGCCGCGTTCGACGCCCACCGCTTCCACGCCTCCTTTTCTTCCGCACTACCCACAATGTGGGTGGGCCATGTCTCCAGGAGACGCACGAGATTCGCCTTTGAGCCGCTCGAACTCGCCAGAATGTCATTCTCGTCGTTGAAGAAGCGTCGAAGGTTGTGGATCAGTGCGTCCATCTTTCGCGCGTTTTGTTCGACCGCCTTCGCATGTCGCGCCTGAAATCGATAGGCAGAAGCTAATCGTTCTTTTAGTTCTTCTATAGAATCACCACTCTGAGCTTTTCGTTCTATACCCCACTCGAGTGAGGTTGGGGACTTTACGTTAGTATTGTCATCGGAAAGATCTAAAAAGGGGATTGTGATAGCCTCATCACTTTCCGCATCCCCGTTTAGGCCAATGCAATCCGAAGCGTCTAAAAGCTCTAACCCTGTTTGGTGGCGGAGCTTTTCAAGCAAAGCCTTAACCGACTGCACTTTTTGCCAGCGCAGTGGGTGCTCCTCGGCGATTTTTTTTTGCTGAATAGTGCGCAAGACCCTCCCTTGTTGGAGTCTGCCGATTAATTGCCGTACTGATGAGGTCGGGTTCGATGGCGCTTCGTCTTCCGGCCTTTCCTCTTCATTTTCCACTGTACCACACTCACTTTCATCGTTTCCAAGAGGATTGGGCGAATCCGACGTCTTCACATGGTGAAGGTCGGCAAGTTGCTGAAGGTCCATTTCCAACACACGGAGGGCCGTGCTAAAGCGGTCTTCAATATCACTGCAGAGCGGTGGCGGCCCATGCGATAGTGAGTCCATATTTACTTAGTAAGATCACAAAGGTAAAAAATGTCTACCCCCTAAAGGTTCTGACTTAACCTACTTCCCCTAATTATGTTATAATATATATATTTATATGAAAGTGACCAAAAAAAAGGATAGAGTATGTTCAGATTTACACTGGATTGGTCTTCCGTTCTTTTTTTTCCCATGGTGATGTCAATTCGCTGGCAGACTTTCATAATATAAACTTCGGTCAAAAAAAATTAACATTTCTTTCGTACAATTTCTCTGAAGTCAATATATATAAAAGGAAAATTTACCCATAATAATAAAAAAAAGTAATAATAATAATAAAAAAGAATTCTATGTTAAAGACATGGTGTGAGAGGAGCAGGAATCAGCGCACTCCTGTCGATCCGATACACGCCTCACCTCCCCTCAAAAGGGACGAGGCCCGCGCATCTTCCCCCTCCTCGACGCACCGCGTCTTTTCTGATTATTTCTCCTTTTCCCGCCATTTCCTCATCGCGCGGCGTTGGAGACGGCCTTGGTGCCTTCCGCCATGGCGTGTTTGGCGAGCTCCGCGGGGAGCACCAGACGGACGGCCGTCTGCAGCTCGCGGGCGCCCAACGTGCGCTTTTTGTTCACCCGCACCAACGTCGCGGCCTCCATCGCGACGCGCTCAAAGAGGTCGTTAACGAAGGAGTTGACAATTCGCGTGGTGCGTCCGGACAGGCTCATTTGTTTGTTAATCGCCTTCAACGAGCGGTTGATGTAGACATTCCAGCTGCGCTTGGGCTTGCGGTGGCGAGGGGCGCCGGAGCGCTTGGCGGTGATCGCGGTCTTGGGAGCGGCCATGATTGGTGGAAAGGAGTGAAAAAGCGTGGAGTTTGACGAAAAAAGAAGATAAAAGCAGATCTTGTGTAAATATAAATGGAGGGGGAGGGGGGGAGGAGGGGAGAGAAAGGAGTGATATGGAGGGTGCATTGAAAAAGAGAGGGGGGAACACTCTTTGGTATTAGTATTGGTTATACCCCTTTTGATAAAGGGGAGTTGGGGGTTTTGTCATTAGAGACCGAACACACAAGCAAATTTTTGTGCGATACTGTTAGTGGTACACACATACATCAAGAGTTTATCAAAAGAAGGGATATTTTTTCCCTATTTATACGATATTTTTAGATGGATTTCGGCATACCACTAAGCATAGCCCTGAAAAGAATTCAGAAATCAACATGATACCTAAGTATTTTTAATCCCATGCAAGTCTTTTCATCACACAATGTATAAAAGACGTACTAATTTCTTTAGACTTTGTAATGATCCCACCCTACGTAAGTGCACATTCATGCATATCTTTATCTTGACATACAGATATCGATATGAGTCTATCAGGGCCCATTCACAATTTTCCATTTGCCTTCTTTATATATATATATAAAGATTCAATACTTTCTAAACGCTACTAGAAGTCATTATTATCATCGGTGTCAGAAGCAAATATCAGCATGCACGTGCACAGAAAGGCCATCCCACTGCACCATGTGAGAATTAGCGCTGATATGGAGATATTGTTGGTGTGGTATAATACCAAAGTGAGCGCCGGCCCCGAAATCAGGCATACCCCGCCAAGAAACAAACTCAGCGTGTTAAGAGAGCCCTCTTCGAAATCTATGGTGTGGAACTCCGACTGCTGCATGCTAAGGTACAATGGAATCGTGGCGAGACAGTAGAAGGAAAAGCACACAAGCGGCCACGCATTGCTTTGGGATACCGCCGTGCAGGCCAATATCAAAAGGAAAACGGACAACATAAAAAAAAGAGCCGCACCAACAAGAGATCGTAATCGAGCCATGTTTTTCCTTTTTTTAATAATAGTTCTATTTTGTCGACTTACCCTACAACCTTGGCTTGTTTCCTTTCCTTTCTTCGCTATTAATGAAGTAGATTCGACGAAACAAACTAGGGAAGAAATGGCCCTGCGCATGTCAAGGAACCCCCCAATCCAACTGTGTATCCATCTCTTCACATAACACATTTTAATTAGCGCGCGTATTTAAACGAAGAATACCCGTACACCCCATTGGAGGTTGCCCGAACGTTTTCATTCCCCCACCGGGGTGACCAAACGCTGCACCTCAGTCTTTATTTCCTCCAAAAATCGCTTTTTCTCCGCCATCGTCCGCAGCGCTTTGCCGGTTTTCACGACGCTCAGGCAGAGGATCAGCGTGCGGGGCTCGCCGCGGCCTCGCACGCCGCGGACGATCGCGCTCGCCAGGAGATTTGTGAGGGGGTCATCGCGCACCCCGAGAAGGACCTCCGCCCTCACGAAAACCCCGCCCGACCCCGCCAGCTCCTCGGCCTCATGGCGGAGAATCACCCCCGGGCGGCAGGTCTCGTCCTCCGTGGCGAACACCCACACGGCGTCGAGAAAGCCCCGCGCGGCGAGGTGAAGAACGCGCTCTTCGCCTTTCCCTTCCCCTTTTCCCCCTTCCGCTCCCTCCTTCTTTCCCTCTTCTTCCCCCTCCTGGTCGTGGAAGAAGACGTAGCGGGCCTGGCGGAACAGACAGGGGACCTCCACGGCGGCCCCCCGCTCATAAGACGGCCCAACCTCCCCCATCCCGTGAGTCTGGGAAATACCCCCACAGGGACCTCTGGGGGTTAGTTTCGACCTGTAAACGAAGAATACGGGCTTAAGATATAGAGATATATAGATATATCTATCTATATATTAATATCTATATCTACACCTATTAATAAATCTCTATCTTTCACTATATCTATCTCTCTCTATAAGAAAAAGTGTTGGGTGATGGTACTATTGACTTGGTGTGAAAAGCATGGGTGGAAACAGGAGTGAAGGTGTGGGAGGGACGGCCAGGTGGCGTGGTATGGCCACTGCGTTAGCCCCCGAGTGGGGGGGGGGGATTTAAATACTATAACATTCATTATTGACGAATAGAAAGGTGGACATTCATAAAAATAAAATAAAATAAAATAAAGGAAATTTAAGAATCAAAAGGATCGAGTATTCACAGGGATTTACCACTCAATGCTTTGTGTTTCCATTGGAACAGTTTTTTTTCTTTTTCTTTTAAAGGGAAAGAGAGGCGAAGGTGCTTATTAAGTTCTGCTAACGAATAACGATGTACGTTTCCGATCTCATTACATTTGGATGGTGAAAGATGACCAATATGCATTTAAACAAAAGAAAGGTCAAAAGGGGGTGGAGGCTGCTAAAAACGGAGCGGTAGAGAATCAAGCGGCGATATCTGAAACGTGTCCTTTGACACCGGCTTTGCTATTACTATTTTTCTCCTTTACAATATAGATATGGATGTAGGTGATCGCGATCAGTGGTCTTTCACCTTTGAAATGAAGAAATCACAGAGATAGGATTCGATCGTCCTCCCTGGCTCTTTTTTTACCCATAGCGGGTTGTGATCATCGCCGTCGTGGGTGTAGATCCACACCATTTCGTGGTAGTTATGCAGTATATTGCCGACCACCGCATCGTTCGCGTACTGGCGGAGGTTTTTCACCGACTTCGTCCGCATCTCCGCCTCGTTAGTTTCGAGTTTGAAACTGACCAAATAAGGTTGGCGGACGACCTTGCCGGGGACGGCCGCCTGCGGACGCCTTAGCCAGGACTTCTTGAGCACTCCCAGCATCTTCGGGACGTTTTCCAGCCGCAGGACGAGGCCTTCCCCCCCGCTAATCTTCTCCGCGGCCTGCCGGGCGAGCGGGACGTAATAATCGGCGACGGCGGCGGCGGCGAAGCAGAGCAGGGGGCGGTCGGCGAACCCCGCGTGCGCGCTCACCGCCCGCGAGACCTCTCGCAGCAAATAAAGATACTCCATCACCGTATTGAACGGGATCCGGAGGAGGAGGTCGCGGGTTTTCGCGAAATTCGCCCCGGCGGTCTCGATCACCACCTCCGCTCTCGTTTCCCTCCCCTGGGGAGTTGGCCGAAGGCGCTGGAAGAGGGCCTCGTCGGTGAGCGCGTCGACCTTGCGGCGAAAAGGGCGGGCGGCGTGGTCGTGGTGGAGCAGGATGCAGGCCCAGCCGTGTTCGACCATCAACGCCTCCGCGAGGCCCGCCCCGCGGGCGCCGGAGCTGATGTTGACGATAAACCGCACCGACTTCCGCTCCAACGGGACCGAGGTCCGGCCACTGGTGATAAAAGCCACCCCCGGGCACCCCGGCCGCGTTTCCAGCAGCCGTGTGAGAAAGTCCCCGACCCGGGGCCCCACCTCCGCCAGCCGGGCCCGCACCTCCCCGGGGAGGTCCGCCGCGAAGACGTTTTCGATAGCCGCCTCTTCCATCGTTAGCTGTCCGGGGTGTCCTTCTGAGGGTGGGATCCTAAACGGTTACCGGTGTAGTTTGTTGCGGGAACTGTGAGAACAATAAAGAGGGAAGGGGGAGGGGGGAAATTGAATTTTCGCGTAGAAATTTAAATTTCAAAAACAAAACAACAACAAAGCACACACCCTAATCAGTGTCCGCGAGGACGATTCCAACATTGTATCGGCAGGATTCGAGTCGAGGCGTCCGACCACTCCCCGCCGTCCACGAAGGCGATAAAAGACCCCTCGTCTTCGACGGTTTATTTGTGAGAATACCCGTCGCCCCGTCGAGCGAGGGAGGGGGCGGCGGCGTGAGTTAATCCTGAAAGTCCGTCAGCTCGCCCTGTAGTTCTTCCATGAGCTCCTCAACCGCCTTTTCCAGGGCTTTCTGACGCTCAAAGAGCGGCCCCACCTCCTTCCACCACGCCGCACATCGTTTTTGCACCTCAAACGGATTACACAGGGCGGCAGGATCGCTTATTCCCTCTTCCACCAAACCGTTTGGTTCGTTTGTAGTCTTTTCTTGTTTTTTTTCCGATGAGAGGCCCTCTTCCTTCTCATCCTCCGTGAAATCGTCTTCGTCGGGGCCCCTCACCCAGTGCAGGATTGAATCCACCATCATAGGCGGCTGCATATACCGCAGCCCACATCTCGCTAAGTCGTGAACGTTATTATTATTATTATTATTATTCTCATTCTCATCATCATTATTAAGTGATCCCGCGCAGTGCAAGGCAATCGAGGCGTTTAACTCTACTACCACTTCCTCATGCTCGCGTTCGAACCCCTCCACACGGTCAATCCAATCCAGAAGAAAACGACGTTCCGCGGGAAAGTGGGATTCCCCTTTATCGGACGACAAGGCGTCCAACAGGGAGCCCCGCAGCTCCCGCAGCGCCGCGCTTTCCGCCCGAAGTTGCTGTAAAAAAACGTTTTGAATGAGGTTGTTGAGATCCGCCATCGGGATTAAACCGCGGAGGTACTCCGCGAACTTTTCCTTCCAGTTTTGATATAAACTACATCGCCTGTGTTGGTGTTGAAGCGCCGATCTAATTTCGAATAATACCGACATGGATCACTTAACTTGGTCTTCAAGGGTAGAGGAATATAGAAGTTTTTAATCGTCAAGCGAGGGCCTGGCGTGTAGCCAAGTTTGGATAATCTAAGCTTTTGCCTCTTGCCAAGTCGTCTAACACCAGACGTCCAATTTGAAGGTGTGCGATGACGCAGCGAATAAAATGAAAATAATAAGAAAAAGGTAAGAAGTCGTTCGATTACTGACTTTGTTCACCGAATTTAGTGTTCATAGATGGTTTCAATAGAAAATGGACAATATATTACCTCTTTTTTTTTTGAAGTTGTTTATCTGGGTGTTTACATTGAATCAAAGTATATATATATAGATATATATATATACGTATTTCTTCATTCTACAATGAAAATGACAGCCGCAAAGACCCCTCTCCTTTCAGTAGTGTTATGTACATCTCCCTTGACTATAATTCCCCAGTACTCATCCATTTGAGCTGGGCTCGCACGTCATTACACACAATGTCGGGGTACCCCCTTCCATTGCCGACGTGTTTAAAATAATGCCCCCCTCTGGCAAAGCCCAACAACACGCGCGCGCTATCGATCAGTTCCATATCCCTCGACTGCCTTGCGGCCTCAAAGCTCTCGGAGAAGCGCACTATAACCTCCGTCGAGGTATTCCCATCCTCCTCAGGGTTCCGATGCCGCATTCCCTCCCGCATACTCGAACGATAGGCCTCGCCGAGGTTCATCGTCGCCTTCGCGATCTTAACGGAATCCCCGAGCTTGCGGGCCATGTCGACGGCCTCTTGCAGGGAGGCAATGGCCTGGGTGTTTTCTCCGACCCGATCTTCCAAACTCGCGACGTTCATGATCGCCTGGCATTCCTTTTCATACAGCTTCTCGCGCTGGGCGACGACGCGGAAGTTCTTTTGGTACTCCAGCGCGGTGTACAAATTTCCTTTTTTCTCGTGCAGGTGGCCGAGGGCCTCATAGGCGGAGCCCTCCTCGACCCCGTAGCGCGAGCGCTTCGCGCGAAGGACGCAGCGCTCAAAATACTCCCGCGCGGTTTGCAAATTCCCCGCCCGAAGCTCGCGCTCCCCCATTTCTTGGCAGAGGGTCACGAGGGAGAGGCTCACGGCGAGGGCCTTTTCCTCATCTTGGACGGCCTTTGCGAGGGAATACATCGCTTCGTACTGCTCCGCCGCCGCCTCGATGCGGCCGACGCGCTGGAGAAACCTCGCGAAGGCTTCCCGGGCGACCTGCTCGAGCGAGACGTCGAGGGATTCGATCATGAAGGCCAGCGCGCGTTCGTGATGCCAAGCAGCCTCGAGGAAATCCCCCTCGGACTCAAAATACACCGCGAGCTCCCCGCAGGCGTGGAGGACTTCGCGAAATTCGCTCTGCCGGCGGAGGACCTCCACCGCGGAGAGCTGCTGTTGAACCCACCCCAGCCGCCCCTCCGGGATCGTAAAGTGCGTCTGCGAGAGCTCGTTCACGCAAACCGGGTCGCGATGCGAGAGGTAGAAAAACCGAATAAACGATTGAATACACCCCTCCTGGAGGGCTTGGACGGCCAGGTGAAAGCGCGGCGAGTCGCGCTCGGGCCGCAAAATCACCACCGAACCCCCTCCCCCCGTGGAGCCCCATCCATCCTCGTTTTTTCCACGATGGTGGGATATCTCACCAAGGTTGGGGCTTTCCCCGCGGTGGGTGTGCGTGTCCGCCGGCCCCGTACTCCAAGACGACGTGTGAGGCCCCGTAAAGGTGGCCCGCGCCTGTGTGAACGAGCCCTGTTGTTTATCACTGACCAAAGGTTTTCGTTTTCCCTTTCCCCACTTTTCTATGGAAGCAGCGAGGCCTTTTTTATTCCCGATGGAAGCGTCGCGCTTGGAAAGCGGGGGGACGCGATTCCCCCGTGGCCGCGAAACCTCGTTCACGGGGCTCGGAAAGGTCACGCTGTAGGACGACGTTTTGTTGGACAGCATCCTCTTACCTTTTTGCTGGTATGTGTATTTCCTCCTCCCCACCGCTTCCCTTGTGGGTGGGATTCGACGAGTTTGATCGAATTGGGAAAAATAAAAAATAATAAACCTTGAAGAAAGTACCAAAGAGGAGGGAAGAGAGAAAAAGAGTCATTAGTATCTCAACTCATCCTTAGAAGTTCCAATACCACAGGGCGTACCGTATCTATTTATTTTACCGGAGGGAGGACTCTAACGTAAGGTATGCCCTGAAGGCGAATCTTAGCCATGTATGGATCTTTAGGCACCTACAAACCACCCTTCAGAGAAACGTCATTACGACGGCTTCGTCCGCCTCACCACGAGCATCCTTAAACACCAAAAAATTCAAGCCCCCCGGTCTCCGAGGAGCTGGGGGAGGAGGAATCCGACGATGACGAAGAGAGGGCACGCGAGTGGGGCGACGCCGAGGGGTGGGCTTCCCTTCGTTTTCGCTTCCTCAGCGCCGAGAGCTGCGCGCGACCCTCGGCGCTGAGTGTATTCGGCAGCCCCAAAAAGGGCCCGGCTCGGACGATGAACCCCTCGTCGCCGTACCCCATAAGTTCCTCTTTTCGCAAGGGCGGGGGGTCGTCCGGAAGGTCCGGCAGCCGCCCCCCGCGATCCCAGCGGGGGTTTGTCAAATAGTACAGCGTGGCCGTCAGGAAGATGCGCTCAAAAGGGGTCTCCTCGATGCGTCGTTTAACCAAAGTCAAATCCAGGCCCGAGGGAGTCAAGGAATGCGCGGGTCCCCCCCCCCTTCCAGGCCCCCATTTCCCCCTGTTAAAGGGGGTGGGTATTCGATAAAGCAGTGGCCCCGGCTCGCGCCGTTGACGGGGTCGTCGTAGAGCCGCGTTGTGATGGGCTCAGCCTCCGGGAAGACTTGGCGTAGGTAGCGGTGGATCCGCATCTCGGAGATGAACCAAGGGAATCCCGAGGCGATCAGGACGTTCGGGGGGTTCTCCCCCGGGACCCGGATCAGACGCGGCTTGTGGTCGCCATGGAGGGACTTTGAGGGAAGAGGGGGAGAGGGGGGGCTAGCGGAGTGCATCGGTCGTCTCGCACTGAGGTGGAGAAGAGGCGTGGGTGCAGGGCCGCGTGTAACAGGTTGTGGACACCTAGAGGGTGAAGGACTGCAGTAGGTATTAACAGAGGAGTGGGGAGAGAAGAAGGGTGGTATCGCGCAACATGAGAAACCCACAGGTCCTAAATGACACAATTCGCACGCCGAATGGATTATCGCAGTATGTGGAATCCCCCGCGCTGCGGGACCTTCTTTGGTAGACCTGGTATGTTGTGAACGTTATTGGTGAGAACACACTACTTTATTGATACTGGGTTCCTTTTTTTCTTAGTTCTTCTTCTGATATTTTACACACACACACACATATATATATATATATATATATGTAGATATGCATTTAGGGCGATTAGATACTTTTTCGGCGTAGGGGAAGGCGTTTGAGCTCCTCTTGTAGTTCCTCACGCAGCTCAGGTCCAATGCTACATTGGTCGGCTGTGCCTCCCTGCGTCTCTGTCTTGTTTAAGGTTAGCATCCCTTCAACCTGTTCGAGGGTAAACCCGCCGTCTCGGTAGTTTTCCTTGAGAAGCCGCACACAGGTCGGCTCGAGATCCATCCGGCGCGTCAGGTTCGGGGCGTAAATTAAAAGTTGGGCCACCACACGGGCGCAGCCATGCACATCCAATATTTTTGGCTTGAGCACGTGCTCCCGCAAGAACTCAAAAAGCTCCTCCGCGGCCTCAACCTCATCAGTCGAGGGGACGCCCTTATTCAAAATCATCTCCAACGCTATCATTATGTACCCCGCGATGATCAGTGGAACTCGGCGCACCACCGCATCGTCGGGGTTCTCAAAACGCCTCAGCAGTGGATTTTCGGACATCCGCTCAGGAGGGCTCGTAGGGGGTCGGCCTTGAAGCCGCTTCTTAAGGACATTCCTGAGCTTCCGGAGCAGACCAGATAGATAGACTGCCTTGCCTTCCCTTTCTCCCTTCTCGTCATCCGAGCGCATCCATGCCGAGGATACGATGAGGTTGACGAGGTCATCGAGGGAAAGCGGTAAATGTGAGGCGACGAGCTCTAGCGGAGCCCTCTCCGACGCCCACACTTCCTTATGGATGAAGAGAGCCTCGTGGTGGTAATGCCGGATGGTTTGCCACCAGGGAAACTCAGGATGCGATGCCTCCAGAAGGGGAATGCCGTTCATAAAGAAGTTTATCACCTCCTCGCATTCCATCGTAGTGTAGAGCCGCCAGAGACCCTGGACGGTGGCCGCGTGGAAGTTCGCCTCGCGGAGGGCGGGCGGAATGCAGGGCTGATGGAGTGCCCAGATGTAGGTTCCCCACACGTTCAAGCTGGGGATTATCATGGGGGCCGCCACGGGTCCTTGCTGAAAGGCGCGGAGGTCACCCTCCCCTGTCCATCGGCCGCGTCGGACCGCGAGGAGGACGCAGAGGATGATGGCCCGGTCTCGCAGTGAGGCCGTCATGGGCTCCTTCTCTGCGGCTCTCCGCAGAAACCCCGAGCAGACATCCCACGCCTCGTCCTCGCCAAGGACCTCTTGAAGAAGCTGTTCCCTGAGATTCGCGAGCCTCGCGCGCCCACAGACAATCCAGATGACATCCAAAAGCTCCTCCGGGGTCTGCTCCGCAAGTGCCTGGCGGAGGGGAAAGTGCGCAAGCAGGGCCTGGACCGACTCCGATTCCATGCACTGCATGATCGTCCCGAAGAGCGCGTTCAGCTCCGCCGGGCCGATATCCCCGCCGGTAAGGTTCGCGCGGATATAGTCGACGATCGCCCCCTCCGTCCGCCGCCTCGCCGCGTCGAGGGCGAGGGGGAAGTACTGAAGGGAGCGCAGCAGCCGTGGCACGGAGCTCAGGGGGAGCAGCCCGAAGTCGAAATCCAGCTTGTGTGGGCCGGGCTCTGGGCTCTGGCGGAGTTTCCGCTGGAGCAGCCCCAGCGCCTTCTCGTGGGCGACGTGGTTGTACAGGGCAAAGGTGTAGAACACGTCTACGTATTGGTAGGACATCCGCTCCAGCGGGCTCAGGAGGAAGTTCCGGACGACCCCCTCTAGGACCCGTGACTGGGGCCGCACCAGGGCGAAGGGATGGATGTCCATTTCGGGTCGGAGCCCTACGTAATAGTCCACACACCCACCACCCGAAAGACAAGGATCGTTAGTGGGTCTGTTGGGAGAGGTTTCGTTTGGTTTTCTTTTTGTAGGTGATCGGCGTCGACGGGGAATTGCCGATCCCCTTTTTCATTATTTGGGGAAATAGCTATCTACAAGACTCGATTCGAAATGGTGACCCAAAAGGAGTAAGGAAAGAAGAAGGTGGTGTGTAAGCAACAAACATTGAAAGACAAGGGAGGTCTGAGGACATTTCTGCCATGGACACAACCCACAGGGTGGGGGATAAAGCGCGTACTTTTGAATAGTAAAATCTAACTTTACACTTTTCTGAATCCTTCATCTACAGAAAGCGAGTCTATTGTACCGCTGCATTCTTTATGACGCAACGTTAATAGGACTTACCTCAATGTATGCGATGACTTCCACAACCACCACCAAAACTGTCACTATCACTTTAATATGCCTTATACTCGTGAAATGCGCATTGCAAAACAAGCCATTTATTAATAATAAAAAACGAGAAATAATGACGAAAACTGTTGTGCATCATGACAATGTGAGGGGAAAAAGTCATTTATGCTTGAAAAATAAAAGCATGTGGAGATTAATGCAAATAAATAAATAAATCTAATGTGCATGTAAGGGAGATATCTATCCATATATTTTGATATATATATATATCAAAATATATGGAGGACTTAGAATATCAGCTATAAATTGAAGCTTATCTATTTCATTTTTTTCTCAATCTGTCAAATTTATTTACTGAAATCACCTAATCGCCGTCAAAACAGCAAAAAAGTATGCACATAAAGAGGTATATAAGAGTAATTTAGAATTTCTATCAATGTTTCTCTCATGGACCCTTTATTATGCCAGACATCGTGTCGTGTATTATTCCTTGAGGTCCGCCCGGGCGGCGGGGGCCACTCGCTCTTCATTACCAACACTTTGTGTGGAGTTCGAGCTACGCGTGCGTTTGCAAGCGGGTGGCCCGTTTGCGGGCTTCCCATTGCTGCCGTTGACGGGATACGGAGGGAGCGTATTCACGCTGAACCGACTCGGGCGCAGGCTGCTAGGCCGGCTTCGCGGCGGCTCGTCAGGGTTGGGCATGACGTTCACGCGCGTGAATGCCCGCCCCTTCGGACGGACCCCCGGTGCCGATGGCGTGGCGCCGTTTGCGGGGGCCAACCCTTTCGAAGGGTTCTCCTTCAGCACCGGGGAGCTATTCCACCCAATCATGCTCACCTTGAGGTTGGCCGGCTCGCCGGGGTGGGGGGCGGTGGGGGGCATCGCCTCTTCCGCGGCGGGGTCCCCGGCCGTCCCCTGCGGGGCCTGGAAGGCGGCCATCGATGAGAGCGGCTCCAGCGCGGCCGCGCGCATAGCCGTGAGTTTGGCCCCGTAG